GGGGCTGAGGGTTTTGATTAGAGGGTTTTGGGGTTCGGGCGGCTAGGGTTGGTAGGATTTAAATTGGGCGCTTCAGGGTTTCAGGATAGGGGCAAGCACGTGTAGAACTTTCACAAGTAACTATGACAGCACAGATGGATGGAACATCACCAGCGGTAGAAATCAGTAGATAATATCAATATTATCAGACAACGCGACATGACGACATGCTGTGGACGTCATGGCACAAAGTCAAACACAAGGAAGAAGACTGGTGTCACGCATCTCTGCAATTCTCTGCAGATCCAGCATTTCCTGTACGTACACCCTTAATGGCATACGGAAGCAATACCATGTTAAGACCATCCTTTAGGAATTACGATTGTGACCGGGATCCTGAATTTTTGGTGGTTTACAAGAAAGGTTAATGAATCAGTTGTCATGTGTTGACAAATAGCATGCTTGCGGCGGCAAGATTGGCACCGCAGAACACACACCGCGCTGTTGCACCCCCAAGCTGGAACTGGACTGTGCACGCTTTCTTTTCCATAAACACGACTCGCACCCAAACACACACAAGCCAATTGAGCAAGACGGGAAGAGGATAAGCACCCTAACGCGCACGCGGCAATCGAGCGCCGAGGCGCCGAATAGCGTGGCCCTGCCGTGGCTTTAGCGACTTCGAGCGACTTGAAAGCCAAAACGAAGACGAGACTGCGACGGGATCCCGATTTCAACACTTTCGACAAAAAACACAACACAGCACATACGGCACTCTCGCAGGAGCGCATTCAGCAAATGACAGCCGCCCAAGCGCCGATTTTACAACGAATTCGGCATGCCCGACGAAGACACCGTCGCGAGGACAGTGCTACTTCCAACACAAAGGCGCCACACTGTTTGGGAAACAGCAACAGAGGAAAAAGAGGAAGAACGACACGAAGAAGAATAGTCCTAATGACTGTCATCATCCCAATCATCATCCTCGTAGCCATACTAACATTGATCACCAGCAGCGAAAACGACAAAGCCACAAGCGCAAGGAAGACGAGAACTATAAAGTCAGTAACATAGTAGCAACTGCGCTGACAAAGCCGGCTGCAACGATAATGGCGATGACGATGCTTGCATTCAAGATGTTGATGAACACCACAGTCGTCATCATGATCATAGTGCTGAATGCAGCGACGATGGTTTTGATGGCCATGATGACACTGATGATGACGACGACGATGACGATGACGATGACAATGACAATGACGATGATGATGATGATAATGATGGTGATGGTCGTAGTGCTGATGCTGATGATGATACCGATCATGATACTAATGTTGCTGCTGCCGGCGGTGATGGTCGTGGCTGTGAAGATGATGATGGCAGCGTTCGTTCATGATGAAGATCATGCGGCCGAGTGGACCACTACATGCACACGTGCATGCATACATGCATACATGCAAAACTAAATACATACATGCATGCATACATGCAAAACTAAATGCATACATGCATGCATACATGCAAAACTAAATACATACATGCATGCATGCATACATGCATACATACATGCATGCATGCATACATACATGCATACATACATACAAGCCTACACATACATGCATGCGCACATAGATGCATACATGCATACAGGCATACTGGCAAACACACAGGCATACAGCCATGCATACATACCTGGCAAACATGCATTACAAACATACGTCACCAAAACACGCAGTCACAGAGCATAAAGTAGCTCGAAGGATAAAGTCGTCTCGCAACCTGAAGCAACATCAAAATCCGCGGAGGAGACTTCTCAGTTATACAGTACACCTCAGGAAAGGTCCGGATTCTCCACAACATGCCCCTGTGTCGAAAGGAGGCCCAAGCGGCCTCTACTGCAGCGGCGGTCAGATCTTTCTGCAGTTGAGCAGGTGCCTTGGATCAGGTTCGGAAGACCTTCAAATCTGGCAAGGGCCGGGGCGGTTGTGCAGTTCAGTTACACTGGCCGTCCTTTCGCAGTGGCTGAAGACAAGAATCCAACAAACACAGTCTGCGTGAAATTGAAGGCATCTCAACTAAGGTCCTGGTAGGTGACGGTGTCATGTCAACCACCACCGTGCCCGGATCGCCTGTGAGTGTTTCCCCCTCAGCAAACACTACAAACCTGCCCTGCAAGTAGCGATTAATATAGGGGCCTAAAATATTACCTGTACTATTGTTGGGGCTCTTTATTAAAATTGTAGTATAATATACCCCCAAAGCCCTATTCTAATTATGAAGGCCCCTATATTACATGCGGCCTTTTCGTTGGGCCGGAGGATCAGCGAAAGGCTCGGGCTTCAAGCCTCAGGGAGTTGTCAAGAACATCACATAACGCGGTAGACTGCATAAAACTATTTCAGGTTAGCTCAGCTTGATATAACATACTATAACAGAATCTGATATCAAACATGACGTGATATGATATGAGGTGATATGAGATGATATGATATGGTATGGCATATGATAAGATATGACACGGTATGACATGATATGGCAAGATGACATGGTGTGGGGATATGGTGTGAAGTGATAAGATGTGATATGGCGTGGTATGATATGATGTGATATGATATGCTGTGATATGGTATGATACAATATGATATGACACACGACATGAAAGGAAATGATATAAGAAACAAGCTATCTCAATATATATATATATATACATAATATACATATACTATACATATATATATACATATATATATATCGTGTTTTGGTGCCATGTGAGACGATGCGGTATGATATGATTGGTATGATATGATGTGATGTGTCATGGTATGACAGGGCGTGATCTGACATAATAGGATTCGCTATGATAAGACATGGTATGATGTGTCATGATAACACATTCCATGACATGATGTCATATAACATAAGATGATGTCACTTCTTCCATCGAAGGATTCCAGGCATGCCTCGGCCCTTCCGATACTGGAACTGCTTGGGGCAACGGCGGCTGATGGGCTCGACTATGCTTTCCTCGAGACCTCCTGGCAAGGCTCACATCTGAAGTCAAGGGGGTTCCCCTGAGGGTAAACCCTTTTTCGGTTTACTGTTGCTGAGGTTTATGTTACGGGTTGTTGATGGGGCCACTCTGCAGGTTGCTTTCCGGTTTGTTGTAGTAATAATTTTTCCTAATACTAATAATAATAATAACAATACGACGAGTAATAATAATAATGATAATGATACTATTCATAATTCTATTAAACGAATAATAGGATCTGGTCGGCAGATCCAAGTCGAGCGCTGACACGCGGGCTTGGCACGGATGCTGGCAATACCGTCGATGCTCTTGGTCGTACGACTACAAACACAGAAGTGAGCCGAAACACCTACAGCTTTATGATAAGCCGAAACCCCAAAGCCCCTAAACCCTGAAGCCTAAACCCTAATTGAACCCTGAAGCCCTAAACCCCAAAGCCGCCAATCCCTTGGCCATAAAGCCTTAACCCTACAGCCCCTGCAGGCGGGAAACGGCCCGGCTGGTTGCAGGCAGAACGTCCACATAACCAGCTCGCAGAAGCTAGCCATCCTCGGACACGTTGAAACAAAAGCAACAGAAACCGGTAGCGTAGTGACCTTTATAACTGGACTTAGAATAGGGTTCCTTGAGGTATATAGGCTTCCCTCAGGTACGTATCTACCGTAACTGTATAGGGAGTATATGGGAAGTAATTTAGCAAGAATTGCACACCCGATATTTGCTGCATCTAGTTTCAACTGCAATTCGTCGTTTTTGTTCCATTCTCAGAGATGGTCTCGGCCCTGAGCGCAAGGCCCGACTTTTGGTTCGCTTGCCTCGGTGCGTCATGGGTCGGGCTCGTACCAGGACGACTAGCGGCAATCATACCGATCGAACAGAACCGCCATTAAGTACATGGTAGCAATGAGCCCTAAACCCTAAACCCTAAACATGGTAGCTATGAGTATATTTAAAGGCACGTTCGGCGAAACCCTGAAGCCAGGAGTCCGGGGATTTGGGAACCCTAAAACCCTAAAACCCTAAACCCTAAACCCGAAACCCTAGACCCGAAGCCCTAAAACCCAAAACCTCAAACCCCAAACCCGAAGCCCTAAACCCTAAACCCAAAACCTCAAACCCTAAACCCGAAGCCCTAAAGCCCCTAAAGCCCAAAAGGGCTTAGCTAACCCTGGGCCGCCTGAGCATCTCGATGAGGTCCTCCTGGTTCTCTTGTGCCTCTTCCTTGCCACACTTAAGGGTTTAGGGTTTAGGGTTTAGGGTTGGAGGGACCCCTAATCCCAATGCCCTAATATAATTAACCCTTATATACCCCTTATACAGTCTCATAAAGCCCCTACAAAAACCATAAAGCCCCTTTTCGACCCCAAGGGTCCCTGTAAGGGTCTCTCCTTTAGTCACTTTAGTCCCTTGCCACACGACCGAAGCTTCTCGGCAGAGCTAGGCCGACCCTACACCCTAAACCTAGGCTTAGGGTTTAGGGTTTGAGGGTCTGGGGTTTGAGGTTTAGGGTTTGGGGTTTGGGCTTAGGGTTTAGGGTTTGAGGCTTGGGGCTTAGGGTCTAGTAAAGGGCTTCGGAGATCCCTAAACCCTACATGTAGGATATTCTCCGAGATCTGCAGCATGCACGGCCATCATGGCCTCCTTTGGAGTCGCTGCTGGGAATACCCAGTCCGGCACCTGCGGCAGGGGCGCTTTAAAAAACCTAAACCCGCAACCCGAATCCCTAAACCCTAAACCCTAACCCCTAAACCCTAAACCCAAATCCTAAACCCCTGAACCGAAACCCCTAAACCCTAAACTCCTACACCCCGAAACCCCTAAACCCTAAACCCTACGATACCCGGCCTCAAGTTCTTCGAAGGTGTAGTCTGGTAGGGAGAAGAAGTGGGTCATGGGCAGGATGAAGGTTGCAACCTTAGAGGAAAGCACGGTTTCGGGTTTAGGGTTGGGTTAAAGGTTTAGGGATGTTTAGGGTTTAGGGGCTTGGGGTTTAGGGTTTAGGATTTCGGGGTTTAGGGTCTAGGGTTTAGGGTCCGCGGACCGAGACTCCTGCATCTTTCAGAAGCGACGTGTTGTGGCTCATGTTGTTCGGGGTAACCTCGGCAGAGCAGGGATCAAAAAGCACCGGACCGAAGTAAGCAGGTACCCTTGACCCTGAGCCCCAAACTAAGCCCGAAAACCCCGAAAAGTCATAACACAAATGAGCCCCAAAAAGCCCAAACATCCACAAAAAAAAAGCATCAACAGGAAGCCCAGGCCTGAGGCCCAGACAAGCATGCGCCTGGACGTGATGGCTGCATAGACCTTTCGGCCATGCTCCGGAGGGACCAGCGCGTCCTTCCAAGGACGATCTGCCACTCAGGGCTGAGGGTTGTATCGTCTAGTTCTGCTGAGGCCCTGCTGCAGCTACAGCTGCAGATCTTCGAAGCATCGTAAAGACAAAGACAACGAGGGAGAGAGAGAGAGAGAGAGACAAAGAAAGAGAGAGATAGAGAGAGAAAGAGTGAGGAAGGGAGGGAACGAAGAAGGAAGGGGGGGGGTGCCTGCAGCGGCGATCAGGCTGACCGTGACCCCCTCTGTTGGAGAATCTTGCATAAGCAGGTGCGGAGCCACACGTCCAAATTGGATGCATGCCAATTTGATAATGCTTATGCGACTTTCAGTCGTAGTAGCTGTAGTAGCTTTAGAAGATGAAGTAGTAGTAGTAGTAGTAGTAGTACTCGTCGTCGTCGTCGTAATAATAATAATAGTAACAATAATGGTGGTAGTAGTAGTAGTAGTCGTCGTCGTCGTCGTAGTGGTAGTGCTAGTGGTAGTGGTAGTGGTGGCGCTAGTGGAAATGATAGTGGTAGTGGTAGTGGTAGTGGTAGCAGTACTAGTACTAGTACTTGTTGCTAGTACTAGTACTAGTACTAGTACTAGCACTAGTACTAGTAGCAGTAGTGGTAGTGGTAGTGGTAGTGGTAGTGGTAGTGGTAGTGGCAGTGGTTCTAGCAGCAGCAGCAGCAGCAGCAGCAGCAGGAATAGTAGTAGTCGTCTACTATTATTGTGATTATGGTCAATATTAAAGTAGTAGTCGTCGTCGTCTTATTATTAGTAGTAGTCGTCGTCGTATTATCATTATGATTATGATTAATATTATTATTGCTGTTTTTTTGATATTATGACTAATAGCAGTAGTAGTAGTAGTAGTAGTAGTAGTAGTCGTAGTAGTAGTAGTAGTAGTAGTAGTCGTAGTAGTAGTAATCACAATGATCAGGCGTTCTGCTTATTAGGCATACTCCAAGCCAAACCTTGAATACTGGACGATACATGCCGAACCCAAAACCCTGAGCCCTGGGGCTTCGGAGTTTTAGCGTCGTCCTGCATACCGTGGATGATGAGAGTCGGACTGGAGATCCTGTCACAGTCTGAGCAGTCCCTTACCATGAACCCTGAACCCTAAGGCCGAAACCCTAAAACCCTACACCCCAAACCCCTAAACCCTAAACCCTAGACCCCAACCCTAAGCCCGAAACCCCAAACCCTAAACACCCCAAAGGGTCGCTTTGACTGAAGGTTTCCTTCAGCTCACATTTGAGGGCATTGAGATTTGACAATTTAGGTCTAGTGTTTAGGGTTTAGGGTTCTAGTGTTTAGGGCTTTGGGGTCTAGTGTTTCGGGTTTAGGGGTCTAGTGTTTCGGGTTCAGGGTAGTGCTGTCGGATATTCAAAAGCCTCGACCTTTTTACCCTGCCCCTGAAACCGCACGCTTCCAGATCCCAGCAAACCTTTGTGGAATACACCTTTGCGATGTATAGGTCTTACCCCGTGTGACGCCTCCGTGAAAAAAAAACTCATAACCCTAAAACTTCGTGAAAAAACTCTAGACCCCAAAACTTCAATCGCTGCGCCTTGGCGCGAGGTCGAGATTGCAGAAGCGATTCTCCACCATGTCGGCCAGAAAGCCGACCTCTTGCGGTCCGGTGCTTCTAGGCTGAAGAACTTGAGGCTTGCTCTTTTCTTTTTAGGGTTTAGGGTTT